TCTATGATTCTACTTGTGAGAATAAAAAATAAAAAAATCTATCTGATACATATGATATATATTGATATATCTGTATATATAGATATAGACATACAGATATATAGATAGACATTAGATAGATAGATAGAGAGATAGAGAGATAGAGAGATAGATATCTGATAGATACATGTCAGGTACAATCTCTTGAAGGAAACCAAACTGGTACAGATGGGTATGTCTGGAAAGGCAGAATGTGGAAAGAGGGAGGTTGACAAGGCACTTTATATCCTCTGTTGCATTATTATGGGTATATATCACTTTTATCCTTTAAAGGCAATCTTTTGAAGCTAAAAAGTTTCAAAAGTAAAATATTTTGATAAATCTTAATACTAAAACTAGATTGCAGAACTTTCTTGAAAGCACCACAAAGTGTTTCTAAAGCCAGATTGACTTATCTGGAAATCTCTGGAAGCAGTGGATCATCTTTTTAATTGTGCATCTTCTCTAAGTGGAAAATTAAATTCAGTCAATAAATCAAGAACCAAATCAATGAGAGGCTACGGCAGACAGATCAACATGTTTAGGCAGAACATCCGGCCAAAGAATCTCTTGGGTCTGAAAAACCACAATGAACTGGTGACCCACGTTTATATTCTCTATGTGGCATACAGATGGTCCCCGTCTTCAAGTATGTGAGGGGCTGTCACATAGGAGAGGGAGAAGTCTTGAGCTGTATTGCTTTAAAAGTTTGAACTAGAGCCAGTGGGGGGAAGCTACAAGAAGATAGATGTCCTCAACATAAGGAAAACATTTACATCCAACAAAGCCATCCAAATAAACCCTAGGTTGGTAGTAACAGTTGTGGGGTTAAGGTTAGGGGAAGTTGAAGCAGACCAGGGGTCCCAAACTCAAATATTTTTAGAGGTCAGGCAAGTAATGAGTATGAGCAAAGAACTAGCCTAAACATTAAGGACTAGCAAACTTGAGAGCACATACACCGTCTAAAAGAGACAGCAGTTACTTGGTTTCAGCAGATTGGCACCATGAGGACATGTGTGCCATGT